GAATATTGGCGGTAATAGCACTCCATAATTCGTGAATAAATCGCACCAATTAGAGCCAATCAGATTACAGGGACCACCAGTGATTTCAAAATGGATGTAATAAAGATCGAAACACTGCGATTAGTTTCTTCCTATTAATTATATATTGTGAAACAACTCCATGTAAAACAGTTCATGAAAAGATTACGACACGTTATAAGTGTGCTTTTTTAAGGAGAACAAATGCTGACAGTTAGCCAAGCTGGATGAACTGCGCTCGCACGCTCAATAACTTGTGATCAATTATCTTACAAAGTGCAAATTCCTTGCAGTTTGCAAACTTGATCCCGCCTGTTCTAGCGGCAACATTCATCGATATCGGATTGTGATAAATCAAATTACACGCATTTTCCCCAAAAGTCTCTGAATTGGGGAATTCCCCCACTCATTAGTATCAAAATGCCATTATGGCTGATTCTTCAAGATGTTTAGTTTACACTATACATATTATCAAAAATTCAAAACCTAATTTTTCACGACATTTCGCCAAATTTAGTGATGACTTAACTCTTTCACCCCTACTTGTATGAGTGACTTGCGCCAAATTTCTCCCTACAACAGAGTTACAAGAATAAAGAAAATAATCGCCAATTAAAGCAGCTCTTGATTTTTAAACAAATTATTCTTGTTTGTCTCATACGGAGTGTGTAAAAAACAGTGCAGCGAATATTACATACACCTTCTTATGCAAAATCCTCTGCCTGAAACCTTTAAGGTTGAAGCTTTATGCGCCGATAAATTCTAAGCTTCAACATCCACCCCTTCCCGCAGCAAGCCACGAGCATTTGATCATCGTCTGTGGGGTGGAAAATTTGAACCTTGCTTGGGTGGTGTGGGACATTTGAACCGGAAGTCTTTCCAGCATAATACAAGTGTTTAAAAAGAGAAATTTAAAGGTAAAGAGTCTACGTTCGGAAGCGAATGGCTTAGAAAAACAATTTCCACATCGTAGAATGATGCTTACAAGCGAAAAGGCCAACAGCAGCACTATAAACTAACGTGTGATCAACGTTTGTTGATCACAAGAAAGAATCGTTCAATATTGGGTGGAGCTTTTGAACGCAATTTAGGCCCGCGGAGAGCTGTAATTTCAACGAGACAACCTTCAAAAGCTTAGATTCTCAGTGGGTTGCCCCAGGGGATATTGTAGATCAAAATTTGATAGAAGCATTAATCTGTTTTAGAAGTACCCTTTTACCGAAAGGCTTCAAAATGTATCTTATAATTCCCATTTAACTGTGGCAAAGCGGCGCATACAAAGAGAGAGAGGAGATAACAACCACTCATGAAACAGCTGGAGGCGTGACGGATATAAATAAGAGAAGGATTCCGTTTGGCGACCGAGGTCCGCAGTAGGGGAGTGTTGACCTGGTTTGTGACTTGTCTCACCCCCTCCCACTCTGGCCGACCTCATATTTGCGACACTGAAGAAGCTAGAGTTGCCCGTGACTGCACTTCGAGCAACTCTTGCGCTCCTCTCCTGCTCTTTTTCGCATGCATCCATAATTCGATGTGCGCACTGTAAGAATGAATCAATCTTTATTAATGTGAAGTTTCCTTTCAGTTTGTCCGCGACTTGATCCCGCCTGTTCTTGCGGTAAGGTATCAATAATAGATCACAGAGAGTGTATAAAAGTGGTAGGAACAAAAAAGTGACACACGAGGCGCAGACTAGTGTCACTGATTTTCTTACAACAGTTAGCTTTACACCCGTATTTTCACAGCTATTTTTGAAATACTTACATTTACACGTGAATCCGCTGCCTTCGTAACCTGGCTTACACTGACATGTGTAGGAGCCAATAGAATTGAGGCAGTCTGCTTCTGAATGACATTCGCTGTCACCAGTTCTGCATTCGTCGACATCTGCCGCACACAGAAAGTAAAATAGTGATAATAAATATAATAACGATTGTTATATATTGCTGGCAGCACCCGCGAGCAAGATCAGGCGAATCCTGTGTTCCGATTGGCTACCTGAGCGGGCAAGACAGGCCTAATTGCCCGTATTGATCTCGCGCATAAAAAAAAAAAAAAAAAAAGTGCGTGGAGCGGACTTACAAAGTTCGTGACTTTTGGACAATGTCGGCAGCGAAGTCGCAAAAAGCTGCAGAAGACAGTGAGACCAAAGAAAAACATAAACGCCCCCCTTGGGTTTATTGTGCTACATACACAGCTGGCTTTCTTTCCCGGCTCTCGAATAAACAAGACATTACCGATTATTGTTGAAGCGAAATATTTTTGTTATATAATGAATCCTTTATTGATCAAGCTTGTTCGGTTAAAATAGCTGGATATTAGCCTCGCTCTTCCTCTTTTTTTCATGAAAACGTCAAGAAAGAACTCGGCCAATATCCAGCCATCTTCACCTCACAATTGGTCAGCATCGCATATCTAGTGATTAAAAAACAATAATGATAATGACAATAATAATAATAGTAATAATAACAATAATAATAACAATGATAACGATGATAATGACGAAAATAGTGCCAGTTATAATAGTATCGGTATTTCCGCATCTTGGCACCCTTAAACAGCTAGGGTTACCTACGGGCTAAAGTGTTACATTCAAAGTGCAGTTTGATGTATCTTTTCCTGAGAGTGATAGATCACTTGGAAATGAACAAAACCCTTTTTTTAAGGATTTGGAGCGGTAAGGTCCATCATATAATTACCTTATTTGCTTTTGCGTCCCTATGCATTATTATGCCTTGTTTTTTTGTTCTTTTCTTTATGATGAATTTTTCATTTCGCATGTTTTTGTATGCTTGTTTGCGTGTGAAAGTGTTTTGTTGTTGTTGCTGTTGTTTTTGTTGATGTTGTAGTTTTTATTTGGAGTGGGGAGTCATCTTAAAAAGGATAGCAGAAGACGAATCATAATTTTCTACTTCTGTGAACCAAATAAATGACAGTGTAATACAAACAGCCACAAACAATACAAAAGTGACAAACAAGCTAAAAAATTTCCTTCGAGCTGGATTCGAACCAACGACATAAGGATACCAACAGATATCCCTACAGTCCTCCGCTCTACCAACTGAGCTATCGAAGGAATACTCGACAAAATTGCATTTCCATTTACAAATAAGATGAAAAAACAACTCCTAAGCTCTCTTGTTGTCCTCATCGTCGTTGCTGCTTTCATCTAAACTACGTGCTAGTTTATCTCGTATTAACGTTGGATATCTCGAGGAAGAAAAGAAATTCCAGATGCATGAATTTTTGATGTGAAAAAGAAAAACAACAACAACAACAATAACAACAACAATAACAACAACAACTCACCACCGCAGGACGTTCCAGGACCCTGGTAACCAATGTTACACACGCAGCTTGGTCCTTGAATCAAATTTTGACAGGTGGCGTTCACATGGCAATCTTCACCTGCACAAGTGCCGTCAGCTGAAATCGGTAGAAAACAATAGAATTGAAAATGTATCTTATACAACCAAGCTTCAAAAGTCTAGTAACTAAGAGATGCGTCTTCCAAGCAGCGAAATATATTGTAGCTTTAAATCCAAGAGTTACATCATTTCTTCGCTTTAACTCTTAACGTTTTGACTACTCATTTATTTATTAACTTCGCCAAGTAACAACAATCAAAATAAATAGATAAAAAAAAGGAAGAAAAATGAAAAATGACAAAAAAAAAATAAAAAAAAAAATAAAAAAATGGCAGGGACACCGCAACAGTATGGCCAATTACAGCGGGCCCTTACATTCACATTCAAAGCCACTTCCTTGGTAGCCAGGACTACAGCGGCAAGAATATGATCCAGGAGTGTTGAGACAATCTGCATGCTGATGACAGCTACTATTTATTCGACATTCGTCCACGTCTACAGAGAAAAAGAGAAAGGCCTTAAGGTTTACATACAAATCGGCTCAAGCTGGCCTCTCAACAGGAATTAAATTCATAATCAGCCTCTTACCAACACATTTTCGTCCATCCCCTTTCCAACCATCTACGCAAACACAATGCTGGGCGCGCTTGCTTGCAATTTTTGCCACGCATACACCTTGTTGGCTACAAACCACGCCATCACACGTGCCGTCGGCTGAAAAAAAAAAAAAAAAGGAGAATTGTTAAAACATATAATAGTATAAAATAATCATCATGTTCAGCTGGTCGAAAAATACGGGGCCTGTGAGTCCAGGTGTTTCAGTTAAAGCCGGTTACCGGTGGTCTATCGCTTCCTATCCGACCTCCCACCGCTGTCTGTTGAGCCTGCGATCAGGCTATTGTGTTTTAATTTCACCTCACGGCCCCTTTTGAGGCACAGTCGCTTATCACACCATCGGCACAGTCACACCATCGGCACAGTCACACCATCGGCAGGTGCTTATAGAAAAAACTTATTGAAATCCCTGACAATGACCTTAGGACTTACATTTGCACTGAGTCCCATTGCCAAGGTAACCAAGCCGGCAGCGACACTGATAAGAACCCGGGCTGTTGAAACAATCAGCGTTCAGGTCACACTTGGTTGTTGGGGATAAGCACTCGTCAATGTCTGGCATGGACAAAGTTACAAATAAGACGATGATATAAGTTAGGTACTATTCCAAGTAAAGAAAAAACAGCGATTGACAATTTCACAGGTTAGAAGAAATAAAAAAAAAAATTGGGGAGAGAAGGTGTTTGGCCAGTAGTTACATTAACATAAAAAGAACAATAAAAATCAAAATGAAATGAATTATTTAATTACTACCATTGTATACGTCACCCTTCCTTTTCAAAGTATCCATATTTAATTTTACAACGAAGCCGCGTTGCGTTTTGTATTTCACTTCTTGTATTTTGCGTTTTCCGCTTTACGCTTTTCGTTTTGTGTTTTTTTTTTTTTGGTATCTCTGACGGGAAATCAAGATATGATACTTCTCCAAGCTCGTGATAACTGCTTTTAAACATTTTGAATTTCTGAACTGGCTAGGGTTCGATACGGACATTTTACAGTTGCACGTTCCTCGAGTTAAAAGTTTAACTTTCTCTTTTCTTAAATGATACATTAGCTGCCTGAACTCACCCTCACATATAGTTCCGTTCCCTCTCCACCCTTTTCTGCATATGCATTGATGTGCAAAATCAGGAGAACTCTCCTCGCAGTCAGCATTAGGATCGCAGTAGACTCCATCACACGATCCATCAGCTACAATTTAAACGATGCAGTGAGATAACACAACTTTACTACGATGATCGCTGTTAATTCATTCACATTTTCGAAAGTTATTTCAAAGTCGTTCACATGTTCGAAGGTTATTGCATCTAAAAAAAAATTCGAACTTTTTCACAAAAATCCAGGAACAGGTGCACGGACCCCTTCGCTTGCAAATAAACATTCAACGTCTTTCTTCATTTGACAAAGTTGATCATACTCTCTTTTATTTTCGCTTTGCTCCCCCCGTTTTTTAACTACAAAATCATTTTCAGCTTCATTGCCACCAAGTTGTTTAGATACGTATGTGTCAATTCCAACTCAAGTCTATGATTAACAATCCACACATCCGACATTTCCGATATCTCCCCTCCCTCCCCTTTTTAACTTACACGTGCAGTTAACGCCATCACCAAGGTAACCTGGCTTGCATTGGCATTCATAAGATCCTACTGTGTTAAAGCACTCCGCCTTTGAGTGACAGCCAGTATCATTTGATGACTGACATTCGTTGACGTCTGATATGAAAAAAAAGAAAGACAGAGTACTTACATTACATTACTTAAGGTTCGTAAACATTGCCACTGAGAAAAAAGGGTAAATGTTGAAGAGAATGCGAAGAAATACAAGCTAAAAATACCACCTCACCGGAACAACTAAACCCATCCCCTTGCCAACCATCTCGGCACTGGCATTGTCGGCGCGCCTCTGGAAACTTTCGGAAACAAGCAGCATTTGAATCACAAATTTTACCCTCACATGTACCGTCCGCTGTGGTAAAATAAAGAACGCTTGATAATGCTCAAATGATCAGTATTAGAAGAGCGACAGGTTTTATTCATCACTTATGATAAGATAACTCAGTAAGTAAATAGTGTTAAGTCACAAAAAAAAAAAAAAAAAATTAAATCATTGCTTAAAACCAGAACTTATTTTTCTAGGAACATACTTTTGGGATGTGTTTGCCTCAAGGCCAGTAGATAATTTAAGCTTGTCCTGGATCGTTCAAAAACGGAAGATTATTTCAACAACTCACAAACGCAGCTGAAGCCATTTCCTTTGTAGCCAGGCCTACAACGACATTCATAAGAGCCTTCGTTATTGAGGCACTCCGCATCTCGGTGGCATCTGTTCCCAAATGGCTGGCATTCATTAACATCTAAATAGAGAGACAGAAAGTAAATTTCACACTCATCTACATGTCTAAAGGGTGTTGTTAGTGCCTGAGCTAGTTGGAATAAATAAGTTAAGAGATTTCTCAGTCAGTTAATTCGTACAAGTGATAAATATTAACAGAAAAAAGTCACCTCGAAATGGAATATGAAATATTTAATAGTAAGTGGTAAAGTGTAAACTAAAAAAGATACAGTTGCCTCTTTAAGGTGATATAAATCGGGTTATATTTGCAGCTTAGAAACATGGAGAAAGGCCTCTAACAACTTATAGTGTAGCAATATTGTTTATTTCACGTTACTTGAATAGGCAATTTCCGAATTACTTTTGGCCTCTTTTTCAAAACAAGGCCTGGTGCTCACAGCCATTCTTGTGAAAATGAGTTTAATATGTATGCGAATGAAAACTTATAATCATATGAGAGGATGAGCACCAGGACTCATTTTGAAAATGAGGCCAAGGGTAAATGGAAAATGGGCTATTAATACAGAGAGGAAGGCTTTCAGGGGTAACACCGTTACGCGAAGCGAAACGAAACAACAACAAACAAACAAACAGAGAAAAGAAAACGTAAAGGTAGCATATGTATTGAACCTACCGAAACAAGTTCGCCCATCTCCTTCCCAGCCATCTTTGCACGTGCACTGTCCACGACCTTCGGGTGAGTTTCGTTGACATTCAGCATTTGAGTCACAGAACACTCCTTCGCATGAACCATCCGCTAGGATGAAAAATGATGGATTAATGATCCCAGTTTGTAAGGTAAAGACAATAACGTTATCCAAACAAATCCTGCATCACATGAGCTCTCACATATCAACGAAAGATTAACTTTCCGAAGTCACGTCTTTTCAATTGTCTCGTGGCAGCCATCTTGATTAAGGTCACGCGTAAGAGGTTTGGGGTGAGCTCTGCGAAAGTCTGGAGGCTAGAAATCTGAGCACGGAATTCCAAAAGTGGATCTAGGGGAGGGGTTCGGGGGACCGCCCCTCCCCTCTTAGTTTGGGTAAAAGACATGAAGCAGAGGGAAGAAAAGCTGGCAGGTGAACACATACAGACAACCCCCTCTCTACTTTAGCTCAAGGTCTAGATCCGCCACTGAATTCTGCCTTTATTTTCGAAATTTGTCGACAGTTCGAGATTTTCGCGCTTCTCGTACCTCATCTCATATGTGTAACTGATTTCAAAATACTGCCACGATAGCAAGTGACTCTCTTTAGGACTGGTAACTTAATCCTCTATTCATACGTATACAAAGATATTTACGAGAAGTGAGATCTTCATAGGCTGCATACTGAGAAAACTTAAAGGACAAGGTCACTCAAAAAATGATATTTGTAATATAATAGAGATATCAGGCGGTATACGTAATGGAATAAAAAGAAGTCTTCGAAGAACTGGTTACCTCTTTTAGCAGTTAAACTCATGGAAAAGAATAACATTCAACCACTTAAGGCTTACAAAAACACTTCATTTTCTGGCAAACAGGTGTAAGGCATGCGCAAATTTATCAGTTATCGGGGGACGTATTCCCTTGATATTTGTAAGACATCGCAAACTTTTAATCGCTAAGGCACATGCCAAAAAATGGGAATAGAGAACACTCACAAACGCAGACGAAGCCATCTCCTTGATAACCAGGCCTACAACGACATAGATAGGAACCATCGGTGTTATAACACTCTGAGTCTGAGCTGCAGTTGTTTTTAGATAGCCGGCATTCATCAACATCTAAACACCAAGATACAAAGGTAATTATGCTGAGATATGTGTTTGTCACGTTGAAATGCGCACAAGAAGTTATTAAGCGATAACTTGCTATTTTAAGGTGTGCAATGGATGCACTCAAAGAAACGAAATGAAAAGAAATTGTTAAAACTGTTTTAATGGGTAGCACCCAAACTGCCTGGGAAAGGCAAGGAAGATAAGTAGCGTTTTGCCAATCATTATGAGAGGGAAGTACATATTATAAGTGTGTCAGTTTCAGCTTTAGTAATGTCAAGATTATTTTTCAAACCAACACCTACCAGAGCAATTCCGTCCGTCACCTAACCAGCCATCTTTACAAACGCACTGTCGGCGTCGCTCGGGGAACTCTCGGATGCATTCAGCGTTAGAGTCGCAAGTTATACCTTCGCAGGTACCATCAGCTGTAATATTTTAAAATATCGTCACGAAAAGCTTGATAGACATGCCATTATTCACTATTTTTTATATCAAAATGATAATTGTTAGAGACTCAAGAGCTACAAAATCGTTTACTTTTGCTGATGGGGTTTGAAACCAGTTGATTCCATAATTGTTGAGTGAAAACTTAAGCGACATCAAAAGCAACTTACAAAGGCACGCAATACCGTCGCCTCGGTAACCACGTCTGCACCGGCACGAAAACGATCCCTCGGTGTTAATGCAGTCGGCGTCCAGGTGGCAGGTGTTCTTAGAAGGCTCACATTCATTAACATCTAAAGAAAGAAAATAACACTTTCTCATTGTTTGCGTCTGAGAGCGCTAATAGGGACCTTAAGCATCGATGACTTTGGGTGTCACGGACGTTCGCCGGAAGTGATTTTTCAGCTGCCGTTAGCCGTTGCTATGGATACACTGTCCGTCCGTGATGAAAGGTCACGTCGACAACGCAGGATCACTTAGTTTGACGTCCTGGAGAAAACGTAGAAATACAGGTGGATTTGAGATTAAAATTGCCGTACTTTGAAGATGATTTGATGTCATTCACTCCGATAACCACATTAAATTTTCTCGGCTGTTGTACTTGTAGTCATGTCAAGCTTGCAAGTTCCCGGTGAAGGAGGAAATTACGGTGGTCGAAGCAGATCCTCGAGGTTAGTTGTCATGCAGCTTAATTTTGTTTTGGACGAAAATCTCTGAAGTCTTACAAGTAGCTTAGCGTAATGCGTACTTTGAGAAAAAAATTCTTAACCTTAGGTTAAAGTTAACTTCGCTACAGCAGATAAATATCAAAAGTCGTCCGTTAGTTTTGTGCAACAAGCAGTCGGCAGTTCCTATTTTGTTTATCTTTTTTGTCCGGCCCGGCTCAAAGTGCGACATCTAGCTATACGAATGTACACACTTTTTTCTCTAGTAATCTATTTTTCCAAATTGATATTAGTTTTTTATTTGTCTGTCCTGTTATTAGCAATTAATTTCGTCCAAATCTGTGGATCATGTCACCCAAACGACATGGGTATGCAAATCTTTTTAGCAACAGTCCCTCTATGCGGTTGGCCTTAGTTCGTTGGTGGCAGCACAGACTCGCAGGTAATCCAAGGGCATCAGCAAGTCTAACAATGTCCATTTTTCTTACTCGAAACTCCTGAAAACACTCTGCTTCGTCCATAGAATCGAGATCAAAACGATCGTAGTCGGCGTGAGGAAATGATGGATTTTTGGAGAAACTAGCGTCATACAATAACAAAAATTCTTCTTCGGAAATAAAATGATGACTCCATGCTAGAGAAAACATTTCTCGAGCTTCCTTTAAACTGGACATCGTCAAGATCGAGAGCACGCCAAGGATGTGTTTACATTTTCACGGTCGACCGACAACATCTGTAAATTAGCGTAATTGTCTTGCTTAACGCAGTCATGTCACAAACTCTGTTGGCGACAACGTCGTTCCCAGGTTCCCCCTCCTGCAAACGATCGAACGTCCGTGACACCCAAAGTCATCGATGCTTAAGGTCCCTAATATCGTTAGTCATCCAACGATGGCCAGTTTGACTTTTCAATCAAAACTGAATAGTCAATTTTAATGCAATGCCAATTTTAATGCAATGCCAGGGGTGGAGTTGGCGATCCAGACTGACTAGCTTATCAGCACTCTGTTGTTATAAGCACTTCGGAACGAACACGTACACGAGCACGAGTACGAGCACGAGCACTAGCACTAGCACGAGCACGAGCACGAGCACGAACACGAGCACGAGCACGAGCACGAGCACGAGCACGAGCACGAGCACTAGCACGAGCACGAGCACGAGCACGAGCACGAGCACGAGCATGAGCACGAGCATGAGCACGAGCACGAGCAAGAGCAAGAGCAAGAACACGAGTTCCTCGTTTTAAGTGCCTGACCCCCACAGAGACGCGCGTCCTGCAACGCTAAGAATGTGTGCATGCATTTAGCCTAGTTCCAGATCCCGACTGACTAATTTGTCATGAAGAATACTCACCAAAGCAATTTGCTCCATCTCCTGTCCAACCGCTTTTACAAACGCATTGTCGACGGCCTTCGTCGAAGACACAGCTGGCGTTCGCGTCACACCGTGTTCCGTCACAAGTATCGTCCGCTGAAAGATTTAAGGCAACAAAGACCGTCAAGAACAATAGAACGGTTTTCAAGTGTTATATTATTTCATGTTCAAACTTTCTGTCGCAAGTATGATCAATCTTGAATTTTGCAAAACATTTTCTTCGTGGGATCTGATAGTCTTCTTGGTTTCCGTCCTTTATGACGTCATACAATACTCCAGAATTCCCCCAGCACCTATTTGTTTCCATTTTCTGTCACTCACAGACACAGCTGTAACGTCCGTCTCCTTGGAAACCAGGCCTGCAGCGACACAGGTAAGAACCTTCGGTGTTGACGCACTCGCCATTTCTATGACAGCTGTTTAAGAAAGGCTGGCATTCGTCTACATCTGTAAATAAGGGGACATTTGCAGATTAATAACTATTAAAAAGCCAAAATACAACCGAATTTATATCTTGGTTACTACTCCAAAATAAAAGCAAATATACATAGAAAAAAATTATATAACAGGCTTACATACCAAAACATGTTTGACCATTACCAGTCCACCCCAGTAAACAGATGCATTGTGGCTGGTCTTCCGAAGACGTCTGGGTGCAATTAGCGTTAGCATCGCAGGGTACTCCACCACAACCTAAGTTTGCAACTTGAAGAGTGAGAAAACAGGAGGAAAATAAAAACAAAAGTCGAATGAGCACTGAGATTGCAATTATTCCCGGGCTAATCAATGTTGATTTAAACCCTTTACACCCAAATATCAGTGTGCATTTTCTCCATGCTGTTCTACATTTCCTATGGTACTGACAAGGAGAATTTGTTCAATAATCATGAGCTCCTTTTTGCTACTCTTAAAGGATAAAGGGCAAAGTATATTTTTCATCTCTGAAAGCCTAATGAAAAGAAAGGAGTGTTGAAAAGTATTTTAATTTATATACTCCTATCTATTTTATCTTCTTTTTTCCTTTTTAACTATTCCGTTCCACTAAATTTTATTCCAATCATTTATCTATCTTTATCTTTTTAGGGCTTGCTTTCTTGATAACTAAAAATATTGAAAAGTTTCTCGGTACTGTCCAAATCGAAGTGTATTTCCTCGAGGAACAAATTGCCTTTAAGTGTCAATCATATAAACCAGCAGCATCAAGGAAGGAAAGAAGAATCAAGATATCAAATTCACCTTGGCAATGTGTTCCGTTGCCTTGCAAACCATCTCGGCACACACACGATCCACGTTGCTCAGGAGACGCCTTGAAGCAAGTGGCGTTAGCATGACATTGAACACCATCACAAGTACCGTCAGCTGAGTAATAGAGAAAAAAAAAAACTCGGCACAGTCACTGTTTTTGTCACTGTCATTGTTTTACCCGAGATTTTCTTGTATGATTACGGTAATCATACAGGAAAATCCCGGGTAAAACAATACTCCGCCACCCCATCTCCCTTTTTTGAACAACATCACAAGTATATCAGCTGAATAATACGGAAAAGAAACCTTTCGACTCATCAATCATACAGAAAAACCCCGGGCAAAACAATAAACCACCATTTCCCCCTCACACCTCCCTACCGTTTAAATGCCATCATAGATAACATCAGCTGAGTAATACTGAAAAAACCCCCGATTTAAAGCAGTTACCCCTTGAATCGCGCTTGATAACTCTCGAGAAATTTACCGTTCCATGAAAAATCATTAAATTTCACCCTGAACGGAAAAAGATATTCTTTTAACGTGCTGAGAAATATTAGCAGCCATTTAGTATCATTGCATGAAATGATGGTTCTCTTGAAAGACTTGACATAGGTCGCATTCACCTACATATACAATTGAAGCCATCTCCTTCGTAGCCTGGCTTACAGCGACAGTTGTATGATCCCACGGTGTTGATGCAATCAGCTCTTAATGGATGACACAAATTCTCGAAGGGCTGACATTCATCAACATCTGAAAACCAGCAATACAGTTATTCGAAAGAAATGAAATTAAAAACCGTGACTTGACCTCGAGAAGCAGAACTGTTTGTAAACTCATCAAGCTGCCATGTACGAAGCTGCCAATTGCAATAAATTCCATAACATACAGTTTGTCGCAAATGATTAACAAAAGGAATTATGCCAATTCCTGATGAAGATATCGTAAGCCGGACCTTTCACAAGCTGGCCGGGTGCTTTTACCAAAAAGCCGAAAGGAGCCCGCCCTCAATTCCTCGCAGGGATCAAAAGTGGATTAGGTGGTGATTTAAACTAACCATCAACATAATTTTTTTCATTTGTTTGACCTTTTTTTGTTTTGTTCTTTTCTTGTTTTAGTTTTTGTTTCATTTGTAGTTTTGTTCTTTCTTTTTATTGTTCTTTGTTTAATTTTGTTGTTATTTGTGTTTTAGTTCATTGATTGTGTCTTTCTCATAATGAAAAGTTCAATAAAACCTTCACTCTTTCCAGTCGACTTAATTCTAGGTCGAGTTAAAGATGATATATATCTTTATACATCAGCAGCTGAAACATGTCTTACCTGCGCATGTCTGCCCGTCACCAGTCCAACCTTTAATGCATGCACAGTTCGGTGGACCGTCCAAGGGCTGTACACATTGTGCATGCGCATCACAATCGACGCCATTACAGCTACCCTCGACTGAAAGGTAAGGATAGCAGAAAAACCCTTACGACTAAGATCTGATTATGACTTACTCTCCCAACCAGCTGCATTACATGTTTTTATAAATTAGTAAAGAAGAATCTAGAATTGACGATGTCATTTCATTATATTCTTTTCTCATTAAAAGTTTATGTTGGATTGTTAACTGCGCGAGTATAGACCACTTTCATAAATGGCTGCCGGATTAATATTCTTTTGTTTAAATTCAAATTAGCCCTTCTGGCCTCGCTTGAGATAATGTATTCTTTTGAATTTTGTACTGGAGAACGAGGTCAGAAGGGCTAAGTTAAATTTACACAAAATAATATTAATCCGGCAGCCATTTACGAAAGTGGTCTATGTTAGTCACCACTAAGAATTAAAGTTGCAATGACACAATGTCAACGAAGCATCATGGACGTAATTCTCCAGATCTACAATGTGTTGGAGCTACTAAAGGCATGTGACAGTGAGACTGTCCCTTTGGGCACTAAGAGTGACTAACATCTAATTTCTCCTTACAATATCACCCTTGAGGATGAAGGAAATGATCCCCAACTAACTTTAGAAGTACAATTCCTCCCTCTCAGCACCTTGGGTAATGTATAAAAACAGTCTGGAAAATATACATGCTGATGCTAGGGTGTGAAGCGTTAACCGTCATGATAACCCAAACAATTGGTTTCGTTACCTTAAAACCCCCAACTCTTTGATGGATCTCCGCCTTCGAACTTTTTCGTTTGTTTTCTTGATATTGGTATGAAAAAATGCCAAATTGTTTCCTAACATGTTGTGATGACAGTAACCCCTGACTGTGCCCTGGGTTTTGTATCCTTGTCCAATTCTACCAACTTCTCGTGTTTAGATGAGGCTAAGTTAACAAACAATAATCTTTGTTGTTGTTGTTGTTGTTGTTGTTGTTGTATCATGTTTTTCAATTTCATCACTGCAATTTTGTTTTTATGCCTTGTGAGAGGACTTTTAATGTGACATGATATGATTCAATAGCGACGCAGCGAGCACTCAACACGAAGGGGATAGGGGACCTACCTCTTTCGCACCGTAATCCATCGCCCACAAATCCTGATTTGCACTCACACTCGAAAAGACCATTTGTGTTGATGCAATTTGCGTTCAAGTCGCACGGACTTCTAGTATCATTGCATTCATTTTGATCTAAACATACAAAAAAAGGGCAGACTTACGATCTAATGATAATTTTAGTCATTAATTAATGAGTACGTTCAACATTTCAATGCCTTCATAAGCATTTGCTTTGAACGTAATGCTGATTTTGGGGGAAAAAATTGGCGAGACAACGTAGCTTTAAAACTTCCCTTGCCAGAACCTCTTTCTTTTCAGAAATTAAAATATATCATGAAACTTAAACGAGTCTTTCCCAGTTAGATCCTGGTCGGCTGTAGCCACTTGTTAGATGAAATAGAGACCTCATTTCTCATACATAAGCCGATGATTAATTTTGAGTCTGCAGGGAGCTGAAAGATTTTCCTTTACATTTGCTTTCTCTATCTCACTGCATGTGCTCCTGCCACCTAAGAAATACGTTTTATGTGCAATCATTCCATTGAGATGTTACCTATACCTCTAAAGCGCTCTCATTCCGTCTCGAAAGCACGTACCCTATGCATCAAATGCACACCACTAGATGTTACCAACGCATCAAATCCTTCAACACCATTAGCCTTGATCGGAGTGCATCCCCCGTTCAGATAGAAAACATGTTCATTGTAATTAAAACATGTTTTTTTTTTTTAAACAAATTGTGCTACTTTTCAATTTAATTACATATACATCGCATATGGAGTTTCAAGTTGAATTTTATTGTTGCACCTTACCCTCGCAAAAAATCCCGTCCCCTTGGAAACCAGGCTTGCAAAGGCATCCACCACGGATAGGATCGCATTTAGCATCCGAATGGCACTGAACACCCATGCAGGAGTCATCAGCTAAAAAACGTATTCAGTGAGTAGCTGGCGGATTACGTGGTCCTGTCCTATTAGAAAGGAACTTCTGTTCTTGGGTCAACCCTGGAACTAGCAAAAGGGTCCCCTGCAGTCGACGAAGCCATGAATTTTAATCACGAGGCAAATTCTATCATTTTAAAGGAGCCCTTTTTGGAATGATATCTATTTATATAAGCTGCTCTCACTGTCATCTCATTTCATTCTTTTTATGCTGCAACTTACAGATACACTTGCGGTTGACTTCCATGTATCCTTGCTTGCACAGACATTCAAAGCTTCCCAAACTGTTTCTGCATTCGGTTTTGTTGTCTGGACAAATTTCCTCGCTTAACAATACAACGCATTCGTCTAAGTCTTAAAATAAAATTAGGCAATCAAAGTCAAATCAATCTTATTCTTTCCATTTCAAGTATGCGTTAATTACTCACCACTCTCCGACACATCAGAGGTGCAGGTGTAAGCCTAATCTTTGTTTTAAGCTTTACTTTCGATTATTTCTTTATCTACAGTTTAATTGTCGAGATCTACTCGCGTAACTCATCATCCTCAGACCAAGTACGAATAGTTCACTGTACTTTTAACCGTACTAAATTGAATTCAAGTTTGGAAAATAGAGATGGGGATAATAATAAAAAAAAGAGTTAGATAAAGAAGCACAGCCTCTCTAGGTACTGGAGGGATGAATAAGGTAAGACTTCCAGTAAGATACAGTTTCGATGTTCTCCATGTAATTCAACTGCACTTTAAGCGATACAAGCGTTGAGAATGACGAAAATCACTTAACAAGAAAGAGCCGACGGTTATGTTTGAATATCAGTCAAAGAAATAGACACCCTAGAAGTAAGATTTCGGATTAAGTATCAGTATCAGAAGAGTAGCCAGGATAAAAGTTATGACACCATGGATGACTTCGCTTACTGAGCACTTAACTCTACCTACAATAAATATCATGGACGTGCTTGCTAAGATCTTGACTGCAAAAACATCAATGAAGGGCTGAAACGACGAATCACAAAAAAAGTAGAAATAACCGACATAGTAACCTTCACAATCCACCCCGTTTCCAATGAAGCCAAGCCGACATTGACACTCCTTTTTACCCGTGTCAAGATCTTCTTCACACGAGGCATACAGGTGACACTTGTTGCCATTACAACCACCGTCGGAATCTACGGAAAAAATAATAGAGCATAAGACATGTCAGTCCAAGTAAAATAAGATCTGTCGGAAGGAAGAGAGGAGGTTTGAAAAAAAACTACTAGGTTTTAGAAAGAGATTTCAGTTATAAACAAATATAGCAGACTGCATCAAAATAAATAATTACATATCTACAAAAAAACCAACAGCAGCCGCAATAACAAGAAAAACAACAAATCCTGCAGGAATTAGATCTGTCGCTGCACGTTGTTTTTGTTATCATCATCACCACTATTATTATGATCGTGAAAAGTGAATGAGTTCCATATATCCATGTACCGTGTGCCGCGTTTTTTTTTTTTTTTTGCGAAATTGGGCATCCGATATGGTGTCCATAATTGCGTTTGGGAGACTATACACTTAAAGTCTAAAAACTCTTGTGAGGGCTTTCACTCAGACAGGTTTTTAACTAAGTGTTAGAAATACTCAAAATTGCTTTGATTTTGCTTTACTTCACTCTATATATGATTAAACCGCCTCCCGGTTAGCTCAATGGATAGAGCGCTGGACTGTTGTGCGGGAGGTCGAGGGTTCGAGCCCCGGCCGGACTAACACTCAGGGTCTTAAAATAATTGAGGAGAATTTGCTGCCTTTCTATAACATCAAGAAATGGTTAGATATTCTAGTCTTCTCGGATAGGGACGAATAAATGGAGGTCCCGTCTCCTGCAGGGTTGGGGTAGGAGACGTTGATTTCCCACACACGAGATTACTGTGTGATGGATGTCCTCCCCTGGGGTGGGATGGGTGAGATATTGGGCGCACTTAATTTGGAGCCTCGCTCTGTTGTGCTACCCTCACCACACTCTGGTGAAAGTGATTAAATAAAAGAACTAAGGCCACTTTTCCAACCAACCAGGTTTGACTTGTTCACTCGCGTTTTTTCCCGCGCTTGAAGCAATTTGCCTCTCTTGACTCGAGTTCAATTGCCTCTAAGAAAATTTTCCTTTCGTCTGATTGGTTATGTTGATTACGTTGGACTAAATACTTGTATGGCGATGAAATCGCTCTTCTATATCCTCATAACAACGCACTAACAACGTATTCTAAACTTCAATACCTTTGGTGCACTCTTTTCCGCTTCCTGAGTATCCCTGCTTACATTTGCAAGTGTACGAGCCTTCATTGTTGGTGCAGTCAGCGAAAGGATCGCAATCGTTATCTAAACATTCATTAACATCTAAGGGAAACCATACAAGCGTTAACGACATGTAGGACATTTCATTTCCGTGACCTTATCTATGGCTAAGTTAAGTTTCAAAATAAAGCAGGCAAATTTAATTCTTACCAGTGCACCTGACCCCATCTCCTTGGTAACCATTGCTACAGACACATCTTTGGTTGAACTCGTTTTCAAAAGAAAGGCACTGAGCTTGCGGATGGCATTTTTGACCATTGCACAGCAATACCACCTCATCTGAAATACACAGGGACACTGTTTAATCGCCTAAATTTAATAGAGTACTACTAGACGAATTATAATTATGGCTAATGGCAGTGAGCGTAATGTAAGAATTCCAAGCTCTTGGACACCTTTATCAGCTAAATGTGTGCAGTGTTTGGTCAAATGTTCAAACTGTTCTCCTTGCAACTGCCATATATAACAATTCGGGGATAACATCAACGTGTGACAGAAATCAAGAAAAGACTGGTTTGTGACTTAACTTATGGAATTAAATACCAGTGATGATGATATTGATAATAGCAGCAATATTATTGATTATGAAAAAATAGTGGCCTGTGACAAAGCACCTTAAGCGGTACTTTGTCGTGGCCAAAAGAATCATCAGATCATGATGCCTGTCGGGATTCTCAAGCGAACTCACTGAGCATCGCTTAAACTCCCGTAAGTGTTTGAGAATCCTTTTACGATAGAGGGGCTGGCTTGATTGGCGATTTGATTTTATCCCCACCGATTAGATCTTGAGAGTTAAATGGTCAATGATGAAATTTACCGAGTCGTTACTTACCCTTAACGCATGTAAATCCATCCCCGCGGTAACCTTCCTTACATTGGCAAGTGTAAGAGCCCACGGTGTTTGAGCAGTCAGCGTCATTGTGGCACTTGCTGGGGCGTTCTTTACATTCATTGACATCTGAATATTACATAGGTAAAAGGAATGTATGAATCAATGTAAAACAGCAGAAAAGGAAAAGTTGAACTTTTCCTCGCGTTCAATTTTCAGGGAAAAATTGCGATTCGACAGTAATAGCTGTAACTGTGATTGATCTTCTGGAAGACAAATGAAACACAAATTGGAGTTATCTATCCCAAAAGCTTGAGAAGAGCAACAATATTTGTATTTGCCATGAAGTGCGAGAGAAAATTTGCAGTGGAATAAACCATCGGTTTAAATGCGCTTAATCCTTTAACCCTATTAGTGAAAAAGACAGAATTTTTCTTCACAAGATCAATACAAAATTTAGCAGACAAGTAATGACAGAATATAGAAATATCACTTAGGGGATTATTAGCTGATCCAACGCCAAATTTTCCAAAATAGAATTGCAAGAATTGTATGGCAGACGGTAAGGAGAATTGCTAGTGAGATGTTGTGACAGAAACGTGCGTTCGGTGCGGGATAGTTTTGGTTTTGTGACAAATGAGTCACGTTGGAGAGGGGAGAGGGGTGGGCCCTGAAACAAAAATCAAAGAGTAACCGTGTCTAGACGTCTCGTATTTCCTTAATTGGCAGGCAGTTCAGAAGGAGGTCAAAGGAAAAGGTAAATTTGACACCGCTTACAAGGTTTTATTACAGACAAGACGAGTTTGGACGGCATAGGGTAAAATTAGGACTGGACTGGACTATTTTTGGACGATTTTTTGGACGATTTTTTTGGACTATTTTTTGGACCATTTTATTATGGGGGAGGCACACCTTTAGTACTCAGGGAGGGGTGGGTGCAGTCGACAAGTACTGAGGGAGGGGTGGGGGAAGAGTGTTATTACTCAGGGAGGGGTGTGGTAGGTGGTTGTAATTGTAAACACTACTGGTTAATGGAGCTTTTACTCGATCATAATAATTATTGATTGTTTTTAAAC